CGATCTCTAGGTGTTGGGCTTTTAGTAGCTCCACCCACATGCGAGGTGGGGCCGTTGTCTCCCCCTCGGCCTCGTCGTCGAGGTTGTTTACCGGGATAGCCTCCTCCTCGTGGATGCTTTCGACGTGTCCCTTGGGGGTACCCATCATGAAGCATTTGCGGGAGGGGTGATGGCTTCCCCTGTTGGAGTCAGAGCCAGAGGGTGACTTTGGCTCCTCTGTGAGGAGGTCGTGGAAAGATTCTGTGACGTGTTCGATCACCACCACTAATTCGTCGTTTGTGGGAGGTGGAATCAAGCGTTGTGCCACAAGGTGGCTAACGGTCCCCGAGGCATTGCGGAGACCGAATGGAAGCACTGTCGGGGCGCTCTGTATGAGGTGTTCTAGAGAGAGGGGTTCCCCTCCGACGAGCCACGCCATGTCGTTGGCGTAAGAGAAGGTGAGGCGGCGTGGGTCCTCCCTGGACGGCTGGGGTCCCAGGGAGACGCCGAGATGGCGCTCAAGCCTCCCGTATTCGAGGCCGATGGAGGGGAGAGGTTGGATGGTGGCGTGAGCCAATGCCAACTCTCCTCCCACCGTGATGATGAAGTCTAGGTCCCCGAAGCTCACATGTGCGCCCAGGACCCAGCTTATACAGTGGCTAGTCATCTGTGGCCTAATGTTAATGTTGAAACGCGCAAAGGTCCCCTACCTGGCGCGCCAACTGTCGGTGTTTCAAGTAAACACCAACGAGTAAATTTGTGTTATTACGCGTCTGGCCCAGATTGTGTGCTAAATAGACACAAGGTTTTATACTGGTTCGGGAAGAATGTCCCTACATCCAGTTCATGGCTGTTGCTCGTGTTATTAGCACTAAAAAGTTCATAGTAGGGGTTACAAAAGGGCAAGAGAGGGACAGGTCCCAAGTCTCTGATGGAAAGGTCGAATGGGAACTGAGAGCTTGGTTGCTGCTCAGCTATGTGTGATGTGATGCGTGATGTGTTGAATCAATCCCCTTAGTGGGGTGCCCTGCCTTCCCTTTTAAAGGCCAAGGGGGAGCAGGGATTATAGATGGGAGAAAGAAGAAAAACCGGAGGCAAAGGAGGTCCTTCAAAGATGTTGGGTCTTATTTTTCCTCTGTGCGAGCCTTGCTGACATGGCAGACGGTGCCAGGGATAGCTCCGCGCTGGGTGCATGTCCGCTGATCCTGATAGGGCTGCGCTGGGCGTCTGTCCACTGATGATGCCATGTCCTAGCATTGTCAGCAAGTTGTCACGTCCCATCCCACCCCGGCGGGCGGCGCGGCAGACCAGGGTGCTGATCCGCGGCCCTACGGGGAGCAGATGGCGCAGTGACCGCACGTCCATTACTGTAGGTGATGCGAGTTTCCTTCTGGACCGTAGTGGTTGTCGTATGCTTCTGTCAGGATCCATGCCCGAGGATAAATGGCGGCACCCACAACACTATAAGACAAATGTCGGCACCTACAATACTATTTGGACTCTGACATGCCTGGAAGGTCTCAATGCACCTTTCTAGTCATATCTTGACGGTACTTTCCTACAGGCGTGCAGGGTATGGTCTTTGGTATTGCGGTTGACTTGAGTGCCCTGCCTTATTTGCACACGTAGTTATGATGGAGCAGCGCGCAGACGTCGGGCGAGGAGGAGCCAGCCCTCAGATGTCGGGTGAGGCTGAGCCAGCCCTCAAATGTCGAGCGAGGCGAAGCTAGCCCTCGGGGGTCAGACGAGACGGAGTCTGCCCTCAGACGTCGGGCGAGGCGGAGTCAGCCCTCGGGAGTCGGCCTGAGGCAGAGTCTGCCCTCAAACATCGGGTGAGGCGGAGCCAGCCCTCAGACATCGGGCGAGGCGGAGCCAGCCCTCAGACATCGGCGAGGCGGAGCCAGCCCTAGGGGTTCGGGCGAGACGGAGTCGGCCTGAGGCGGAGTCTGCCCTCAAACGTCGGGCGTGGTGGAGCCAGCCGTCAGACATCGATCGAGGCGGAGCCAGCCCTCAGACGTCGGGCGAGGCGGAGCCAGCCCTCGGCAGTCAGCCTTAGGTAGAGTCAACCCTCGAGGGTTGGGCGAGACGGGACCTGCGGCCACAGCGCCCATCGAGGCGCAGCCAACTCTCGAGGGTCAGACGAGGTAGGGCCCATGGTCTTGGTGGACGGATGAAAAGTGACCCGGCAAGCGGTGTAGTCGCACTCTTGACGGTCATTAGCTCCTCCTCTTCGGGTACCCTAATATTGGTCCCCGACAATTATTACACATTTTAATATAAGATAGAAAAGTTATCTCTTGATCAAGAGCTAGTCTCATGCACACACACTCCAAGGTCATGTGAAATTGTTATTTGAGACTATTCGTATTAGGAGCTATGTGCTAAAAGTTAATATTATTGGAGAAGTTGTATTAGAGCCAGTAAATAGCTTATACCATCGAAGATACCTGCAGCAGGGCGACTCCGATCCACAGTGCTCTTCGTATTGGTGATGGATCCGCAAGAAGGCACTACCATGGCAACGAAAAGGGGATCACTGAACGCGGATCCAATCTGCATGCGCACGTCACTTTGATCGGTAATACTTGCGCCCGACCGAACGACTGGACGCCTTACCGTTCTTCTTCTTTCTCCTCTGAATCATCAACTTCCCTGTCTGCCACCACCTCAGACGCCACCCTGGCCGTCGGCTACCTCGCCGGCTGGCGACCACATCGCTGACTGCCCACACCCAACGCTCCTTGCCTGCGTTCCCTAATCCCAATCGGCTTTCTCCCCGACCGCCCCGCCACTGCCGCCGCCTCAAATGCCACCTTGGCCGTCGTCGACCACACCGCACACCACTGCCGCGACCCCGCCCTTCTCTAACCTTGCACTTGTCGCCCCAGCCGCCGACTGGTTGTCTTTCCTTGCCAGCTCAGCGGCGCCCCCGCCGGTCGAACCACATCCACCACCGGGCCGGCCGCTGCCCCCGGCCCCCTCCCTTTCTAAGGCCACAGGGTATTGATCTTCGGGCAGCGCAGCGGCAGCGCAACGACGGTGGCGGCACACGGAGGTCCTCCCTCCACCCGCGCTTGCTTGCGGGTGCGTCCGGATGGACGGACACGCGCGTTCTATCATATCCATTGTTCGAGCGTCCACACGACACCTTGCGGACATGCAACTGACCCAGTAGAAATTTGAGAAGTTACCGGTTTACAAACTAATATTTCAAGTTCCAAATTTCCAATTGTATCCGAATGGGATTTCAAGGTCAGAGCTTTATGGGATAAATTTTGAGGTCAGTGGAACAGGTATGAAATACCGGGCCATCCATTATTTCCAGATTTGCACAAACATCTGCTAATTTTATTTACAGCATTGTGGTAGCAACAGCAGTAAAGGCTGTTCATAAAGATTAATCCGTGCAAACCGTAGAACTAATTAATTCATCATAGACAAACTGTTCCAGCTCTGTTAAGAAACTAGTATCTCTCGGTAATCTTATTTCCACCACATTAATGTCGGGCTTACTTATCAGCTTCTTGCAACTCTTGCAATCATCCAGGGAGGTGAAGACAAATGCAGCTCATCATCTATTCGTGGACCACATACACCTAGATTGTTCATCCTACATCGAAAGAGCTTATACAATAAATACACACACATCAGCCTCCATCTTTGAAAGATTTTGATGCGACATATCAGAATATATGGGTAGCAGCAGGTTCTTGTATTTGATAAGTCTGCTGTATATATCCAACCTTTTTTGTTACTCTAGTACATAATGAAAGTGAAGTGTGTGTGAAATCAAATCAGTGCAATAATCAAGCAGTGAAAGATGTGACTTTAACCTTGCATATAAATTTTCCAGAATAACATAAAAGATCTGGTGTTTCCGCCTTTCTCATCCTCTCTCTCCCTGGTTCTACGTTCTCTATCTCTGGCGGCCTTTAAAAATCTTGATGAATATATGGGTGAAATGCCAGACCAGCGGTGCAGTGAGGTGGCAGTGCCATCAGCGGCCTAGGTTGGGCCACCGCCGGGACGGGGAAATTACAGTAGGATCTCAGCGCAGCTGGGTTAGCGCGGTGGTGGGGACTGTGGGAGCTGCCGGAGATTAACCCTGTTCATTGGTTCGTCGTAACCGGATACCGGCCCAGAAGGGCCATGGTCAAACCACGTTCACGTGGGTCGCATCAGTCTGCATCTATAATTATGGTATGTATAACAACTTTTCAAGAAATTCTTTTTCTCTACACTATTTTCATGAGTACTAACGCAGACACAGTTACGGTCCTGTAGCCTATATATGCCAAGTGATTGAACAAGACCACACTTAGTGCAGAGCAATTGTACTAGTAGCACGGTTTCAAAAAAAGAAGAAAGCAATTGTAGTGCGGCAACAGCTTACATGCTCCTTTTCCCCCTTACCAAAAAAAGCTCCTTTTCTCAGTACCATATGTAGCACCACATAAGTACATATATGACTTATTGTGCATATGCTTTAATTAATTAATTTCCCTCTCTACACCCTGTTCAATTCTTCTCCTTTCCTTCCTCTCGCAGTCTAGTATTTTATTGTGCCCCTGTGCAGTCCCTCACTAACGTTTGTTTAGTTCCTTCCTCTAAAGTTTACTCCATATCCTATTAAATATTTGTACATATGTATGAAATATTAAATATAGACTAAAAAAAATAAGTAATTCTACAGTTAGCGACTAATTTGCGAGACGAATCTTTTAAGCCTAATTAGTCCATGATTCGACAACGTGGTGCTTCAGTAACACATGTGCTAATGATGGATTAATTAGGCCTAATAAATTCGTCTCGCGGATTACTAGCGGATTCTGTAATTTTTTTATAAGTATCCGAACACCCCATACGACACCTCCATGTGACACCCGATGTGACACCCCAAAACTTTACACCCTATATTTAAACCAGACATAATACACCCTGCTCAATTCTTCTCCTCGCACGCAACTTCACTTTTCTTTTCGTCGTGCGTCCCTTTTTCCAACAATTTCTGCATGACGAGCATGGCTGAGCTCTTGCAGGCCGAGGCAGAGCTTTGGTGCCATGCCTTCGGCTACCTCAAATCCATGGCGCTGCAGTGCGCGATCAAGCTCGGGATCCCCAACGCCATCCACCACTGCGGTGGCACTGCGTCTCTGCCCGAGCTGCACGCCGCTCTCCCCGTCGCCGCGAGCAAACGGCCATGCGTGTCCCGCATCATGACGTTCTTGGCCGTGTCCGGGATATTCCGACAGGAGATCCCGGTAGACGGAGAGGCCGTCGTAGGCGTGCGCTACAGCCTCACACCGGCATCTCGCCTCCTCGTCGACGACGACAATAGCGTCAGCAGCAGTCAACATCCATGCCTTTCACAGTTCATGCTCCTGTGCTGCTCGCCGCTCCACTTCAGGGCGTCTCAGAGCCTGGCTGACTGGCTCAGGGACGACGAGGGAGACGCCGCAGCAGCAGAGACACCGTTCATGATGGCGAACGGAGCGAGCCTCTACGGTCTGGCCTGCCGCGACACGGAGTTCGGCGCGCGTTTCAGCGAAGGGATGGGCTCCGACAGCCGCTTCGTGGCGGAGATCCTCGCCCGCAGCGGCTGCGCCCCGGTGTTCGCGGGACTGACGTCCCTGGTGGACGTCGGAGGAGGTGACGGGACGACGGCGAGGGCCATCGCCAGGGCCTACCCGCACATGAGGTGCTCCGTGCTGGAGTTGCCCCAGGTGGTGGACGCCGTGCCGGCTGATGTTGGTGCTGTTGAGTTCATCGCCGGCGACATGATGGAGTACATCCCTCCAGCTGATGCTGTGTTACTCAAGGTATGAGTACTAGGCCATCACTAGTGATGCAGGTGTGTTTTCGTAGGTTTACAGTAGTAGCTAATGACACACAATGCTTTAACGTCTTATAATTTGGAATAAATGGAGTATGTAAGTAACTCAAATATCTTATGACAGTTTGTGCTACATAACTGGAGTGATGAGGAATGTGTTCAAATCTTGAAGCTATCCAAAGAAGCTATTTCTACAAGAGAACCAAAGGGGAAGGTGATAATAATAGATGTTGTTTTAGGATCATCTCCGTCTAAACAGACACGGGAAGCTCAACTTTTGTTGGATCTATGTATGATGGTTATATTACCAGGAAAACAAAGAGAGGAGGAGAAATGGCATAAGATTTTCTTGGATGCAGGATTTACCCAATACAAGATTAGTCCTGTGTTAGGATCTCGGTCACTTATCGAGGTCTATCCATAGATGGACCCTGCAGATGACCATGTCATATGACCTATCAAGGTTTAAGGCCCTAGCTTACACATTGTATTTTATATAAACCTTGTTTTTTATAAATACATCAACTTTTGGCATTGTAAAAGATACGTATGCAAGTATATTAGTGTTTTATTAGAGGACATGTCATATAATGTAATTTAGTTTGGTCACTAACCTAAGAGCAAGTAGTTTTGCCATATATGTTGTGTTACACACCTACTTTGTTACATGAACTGTTTGTTCAAGGCAGACAAATGGTGCCCAAAGAGGGAAGAAGAGAGCTAAATGCATTTGGACTGAGATATCACGTGGCTAGTCATGCGATGTGTGACTGTGCAACCCCCTTTCTTCCTGTTTTTGTCGTGTGATTTTCTTTTTGGTTGTGAATGGCAAACTATGCAGTGTAACCCACAATGCGTGTGGTGGGGTTTACACGGGCCTCAAGCTTGGGTTATAATCAGAAAACACAACAATATATTAATCATGTGTCATAAAGAAAATCAAATAGAAGCCAGGGAATGTCACTTTCATGATGATGTAAGCACATTTATTTGGACCTTGACAATTGCTTCCTTGTTTGACATTCATTTTCAAATCCTTTTCGCAATGTTCTGTTACCCTACGATGAGATCTAGAAATAAAACCAATACTGGATGTGTTTTGAAGCTCTTTTATACAACTAACAACTTATATTTAACTTATGCATCAAGCTTGCAGCAACTTATTTTGTATTTTTTGAGATATAAACTTGTCTTGTATATCTAGTAGAATTATGCAAAGACACTTAGCATGTAAATTTGATGTCTTGGTTGAGAATATGAATAAGCTTATTATGGCAGCTAAACCTGAAAACAAACCTTTTGGTAACATCTCCGATGCCGAAAAGGGCAATTTTACATCTACTTCATATGGGCCTCAACCACAAATTGCATCTTCTAGTCCATCAGCGACACCCCCAGAGCAATATGGGTATATGGTTTTATCTCCTTCTTCTCCTATAATCAGCATACCTCCTCTCCTTTGGCTTCTTCTGGCCGAAATAATGAGATTTATAGTTTTGTGCCACCACAAAGTATGGCTTTACCACACAGTCCATTGTCCAATTTTGGTGGTTTGTAGCAACATGCTCCATATTCATTTTGAAACTAAACCTATAACACACCGCAATCTAAAAAAAATATAGGCACGTACCATGGATCATCTCCCAAATTGCCTAGCTTAAGAGATGAATGATGGAAATATCTAGGAAAACTTAGGGTGTAGAACCTAAAGTCAAGAATCGGTCATCTCTGAGACCGTATTCTGATAGATATGAGCACATTGCATATCCACAAGGGGCCAAAATACCTGAGTTTGTCAAATTCAGTGGTGATGATAGTAGGAGCACATTAGAGCACATAGGCCAATTTATTGTACAGTACCATGGTGAGGTTAGCTCTAGTGATATCAATAAGTTGAGATTATTTCCTTTATCTCTACTCAGTGCTGCACTTACTTGATTTTCATTTCCTACCCCTTTTTTAGAATCTTTTTCAAAAAAATTGATTTCTGCTTTTTTTGGATCTAGTTCCGCTTATTCTCCCCCAAACACAGTTCGCCCTTGGTCTAATATAGAGCAGACATTTCCATGATTATTTCTTTAGTGGTAAAAATGAGTTAAAACTGTCACAGCTTACATCAGATAAACAGAAACTACATGAAACTATCTCCGAATATACTAGAAGATTTAGAGATACTAGAAACTGATGCTCTAGTTTCACAGTTACTGATATAGATTTAGCTAATCTAGCGTATTCCGGTTAACTTGATTTTCATAAAGAGAAGCAAGATGGACAACAATTTCTCAATGTTAGACAAGTGCTACAGAAAGCCTAGAATTGTAGTTGTCAATCAGTAACTGTTAAACATAAAAATTCCTCAAAATAAACAGCGACCCAACATATCTCATGTAGAGGAATAATTGTAATGGTATTGTCATGAATTATAGTTGCAGATCTCCAAAACGTGATAATTATAATGGCATATAGAAACTTCCCATACTTGTACTGTTATACATAAGTATATTTGGCAAAGTATGATTATTGACCAGATTGTTTTGCTTGAAGCCAAAGGATGATTGCTTCTGACATTCCAAGTCTATAAATACCAAGCCTGGGTTTTGATAATAAAGGAGCAAATTAGAGCATGACTCAAAACCAGTTTACGCCACCCATGACGAGTATCGACAACAACATGCTCTTACAAGCCTAGGCAAATTAATATAAGACCCTATTTCGATCCATTAGGAGCTAATAGTCACTTGGTTATTAGTTTACAACTAACATTAGCTAACCAATCATTAATTGGCTACACATTAGTTAGTTTGGTTTTGTTTGGATCCACTAGCAAAAAGGTTGGATGCATTGGTGGCTTGTTTATAATGTCCTTTCTTTTCTATTTGCTATTAGTAGAGCAGATCAATTTGTATAGGTGGGAGGACAACAGTTTTTTTTTTTGCAGCCTATTAGGTGCTATTAGGTGGGTTGGGACATCTAGTTGAGATACTCCCTCCGTCCTGAAAGAATGAATTCCTAGCAACTTTAGCATAGATTAGCAAAAGAAGATAAAAGACCATGCTGCCCCTCATTAAACTGCTGAACCTTAATATAACTCTCTAGTTACCGAGAAGCCTAATTAAGTAGTGTCGTTTGGAGTATCCAACAGCAGCGCATGATAGAGAGGTTGTGTTAAATGCAACCCAGACTACGAGAGAGATTAATGTGAATTGGTGTTCACCTCTAGAAATCAATTCTTTTGGAGACAAACTTTTGGTCTGCAAATTGATTCTTTCAAGGACAGAGGGAGTAGTTGTTACTTGAATGCTCAGCTAATAATGGTTGATATCCCTTTAGCTACCAAATAATTAATGGCCCTGCAGTATGCTATCATCAAGCTTTAGGTCCCCAACGCCATCGATGTTCATGTTGCCTCCTGAAGTTCTTGGCTATGTACGTCGGGTATCTTAATGTTATCATATAGAAGTATCAGCAAGCAGCCATCTTAGAAATGAAACATCACCCTCCGAAAATAACTAGTTCCCAATGGACTAGTCATCGAAAGTAACCCCGGCGATGTGTTCGATTGGATGCTTATACACCACTGGATGGAGCGGTACCGGTAAGGTAGTACTCATGTGAGACTTGACTCGACTGGCTACTTTACCAGCTGCCTGTCTCCTTTCTTTCTCTTTTGCGATCATCTTATTGGCCTGCTGACGGGTCCGCATTCATGTCAGCCAATGCTTTCACCAATCACTATATTTCATATTACACTCAGGATAGCTACAAGGATGTGACCCTGTTCGTATATGTATGCCACATACATATGAGATGCTTTAGGGGCAGAAGACGGATTCCATCAGACATTTTTTTAAAATAAAATATTATTTAAGTAATTAATTACAGAATGGTACTTTTGAAAGACTAATATGGCACTACTCCAGAATAGGGAAACAGTACCGGTTCTAAAAGGCCTATCACTGCCGGACTTTTCCACCAGCAGTAGGTAAACCGCAATGATGCCGCTGGCTACCACAGGCGGTATTTCACCCGGCGGTGATAGGCTTTAAAAAGGAAAAAAAAAGGAATACAACCACCATGCTCGCCAGAGCATGCTCGTTAACCCTGCCACCGCCATGCTCGCTGGCCGCCACCGCCGCTCAATCAAGCAGTTCATCCAAGAAACAATTCATACATCACAAATCAACTCATCCACAAATCACAAGTCAACTCATCCATAAATCGATTCATACAACACAAAGGAGAAGGGTTCAACACATCACATATCAACTCATGCACAAATTGATTCATACAACATATATAGAGGGATGGGAGGGGAGGCCACGAGGGGGAGAGAGTGGAGATGCCACAGGGCAGACCGACCTTGGTCTCAGACCGGAGGCCGCCCCTTGCTGCTCCAACGTCAGATCTGAGGCCGCCCCCATGACAGATCTGAGGAGACAGAGTGAGAGAGAGGAGAGAGAGCACCGGGAAGGGGTCATTGCTGTGGAGAGAAAGAGTGAGAAAAGAGAAAGCATCGTGAGCCGTGAGGAAGAAGCCACCGGCGCTGCCCGCCTGCCCATGCTACTCCCCTGCCGAGCTGCGCGGCCCCACTCACATTGGTCGCTGCCCAACCGCGCCACAGCAGCCTCATGCCCGTGCCGGGCCGTCAGAGTGCCGGGGTGGAGCCGCATTTGTGCCAAGCCCATTTAGTTGGGCTGTTTTCTGTGGCCCATTGTTTTTTATTTTATGTGGCCCATATCTCGGCCCATGCAGATTTTAAATTTATTCTCAGCCCAATATTCAATGCACTCATCGATCAGCCCATATATTAGAGCCCATCAACATCAAAGTTAATTAATACAACAATTAATAATTCTTGTACACAAGAAGTACATCAACTATAACAATAATAATACAGATGCATAAATAACTAATTCTTCTAAATTAATAAGCACCAACGTCTTGTCCTCTCGATGCATGTAGTTAGGCTTGGAACCTGTACTTCAGCCTTGT